TGCCAGGTCGAAAACAGAAAAAAATTTATGAATTGAATGTGTTCGTGTTTGCGACTAATAGACAATTAATATTTAAAAAAATCTAGAAAATACTAAGCTCAACAAAAAAATACCGGCTTCATTAAATAGATTATCATAGATAAAAGGTGATAGCAATTGATAAACTCTCCATAACATTGAAATGTTTAGTTGGAAGGACTATCTTAGGGAAAACTTATTTCAGAATTTTATTAAAATGTCATGTACAGATCATTAAGGTGCTCATTTACATTAATAGAAACTGTTCTTTTTAGAAAATGCAAAATAAGACTTGAAAAAATATAAATCTAAATTATGAAGCATAAAAAACGATATGTTAAGAATATTAAATTGCTCCCAGGTCAATCACGCTCGGCCGTAAACGGCCGTTCACTAACCAAATACGGCGAATAACGACGACTGTATATTGTAGCTGTTTACGGCGGCAGCAAACGATGCTTTACAGAATATTACGTCAATCGTACACGCTACCCGTAAAAGTCTACCGTAAAGTGCTACCGTAACAATACGGCGACTGTATACTTTGCTCGGAAAACAACGTAAGGCATCGTATGGGTCAACCGTTTCCGATTGCTGTTTACAACAGTCGTACCTAATGCATTACGGCATACTACAGCCACTGTAAGCATCGGCCGTAAACTGTCGCCGGTTACCACCAGCGTGGTAACGCGACGACTGTATACGTTAGTATTATAAAACCTCGTAAGACGCCCTTTTCAAAGAGCCAATCCAAACCTGCACTGCTGTAACTCCATGAAGGGATAGGAGGAGACCCACACATATACAGATCAATCGATAGAGCATCTCCAACAATCCTAGGAGCCGCCCAGACATGACTACCACATGTGCGCACAATAACGGAGAAAAGGCCTTCTGAAATCTGATTGGTCTATTTTCACCGACCATTCAGAGTCCCGATTCCTATATCTCTATAAAGGGATAGAAGTGGACCCACATATATATCCATCAATCGATAGAGCGTTCCCAAGAACCTTAGGATCGGCCCGAACAGGACTACCACCTGTGCGTACTATAAGGGAGAAAAGGCCTCCTGAAATCTAATTGGTCCATTTTAACAGACCAATCAGAGCCCCGATTTCTATATCTCTATGAAGGGATAGGAGTGGACTCACACATATACTCATCAATCGATAGGGCATCCCCAAGAACCCGAGGATTGACCCGAACATGACTACCACATGTGCGCACAATATGCAAGAAAAGACATCCTTAAATCTGATTGGTGCAAAACGGACCAATCGAATTCCGCATATCGTCAATCTTCCTTCACCGTTTTGTTTTGCGCCACATACCGGTATAAATATACCACAGAAAATCATACCACCTCTCTATCATCGAATATCACGACAAATCGGTAAGTACTTTATTTTTTTATTTTTTTCCCTTCACCTTCGAGCTCTCATCCAAAACGAAGCTAGGAACCCATACATATACCCATGAATGGGTAGAGCAACCCCAAGAACCCTAGGATCAGCCCGAACATGACAACCACATGCGCGTACTATAAGGAAGAAAAGTCCTCTTGAAATCTGATTGCTCCATTTTAACCGACCAATCAGAGAGCCAATTTCTATGTCTCTATGAAGGGATAGGAGTGGACCAACACATATACCCCTCAATCGATAGAGCATCCTTGATAACCCTAGGATCGGCCCGAACATGTCTGTGTGTTTTCCTTATATTAAGAGAGAAAAGTCCTGCTGAAATCTGATTGAGCCATTTTATGGACCAATCAAAAGGCAGGATTCCATTTCTCAGTGTTGGACTTAGTAGGAATCTACACATATACCCTTAATCGATAGAGCATCCTCGATAACCCTAGGATCGGCCCGAATATGCCTGTGTTGTCCTTATCATAAGAGAGAAAAGTCGTCCTAAAATCTGATCGGTCTATTTTATGGAGCAATCGAAGGACCAGTTTCTATTTCTCAATGTTGAGCTTAGTAGGATCCCATACATATACCCCTCAATCGATAGAGCATCCTCGATAACCCTGTGATGGCCCCGAGCATACGTATGTGTTGTCCTTATAATAAGAGAGAAAAGTCCGCCTGAATTCTGATTGGTCTATTTTATGGACCAATAAAATGCGAGATTCTAGTTTTCAGTGTTGGGCTAGGTGTGGTCCCATACATATACCCCTCAAATGATAGAGAGTCCTCGATAACCCTATCATCTGCCCGAACATGCCTATATGTTAACCGTATAATAAGGAAGTAATTGGCCGATTTTCTGGGCCAATGAAATGAGGAGATTCTATTTCTCAGTGTAGGGCTGGGTGAAGACCCATACATATACCCCTCAAACGATAGAGCGTTCTCGATAACCCTATGATCGGCCCGAACATGCCTATATGATGTCCGTATTATAAGAAAGAAAAGTCCTCCTGAAATATAATTGATCAAAATGGACCAATCAGAACAGAAAAGTTCACTCTTCATTCACCGTTTTGTTTTGAGTCAGACACAAGTATATATGTATGAGCAGCAAATCGATCATCTCTTTCTCACACTAAGCACGTCGACTCTAGGTAAATACTTTTTACTCTCCTCCCTACGAAATCATCCATACTTTAGTTCTCGCTGTCCCACAAGGTGGAGACCCATACGTATATCGCTCAATTGATGGAGCGTCCTTGATAACCCTATGATCGGCCAGAACATTCCTATATGATGTCCGTATAATAAGAAAGAAATTGGCCCATTTTCCTGAGCCAATGAAATGAGGAGATTCTATTTCTCAGTGTAGGGCTGGGTAGAGACCCACACGTATACCCCTCATACGATAGAGCGTCCTCGATAACCCTATTATCGGCCCGAAGATGCCTATATGTTGTACTTATAATAAGAGAGAATGTCCGTCCGGATAATACCGGCGGAATACGGCCGTTTCTGATCACTGTAATGCTCGACCTGAGATGTGATCTTTCTCGGGTAACGCCGGGTACCTCTGCTAGTATTATTATAAACTAAAAGTTTCGGTTGTTTCTTTGCTTAATGAGCACTATGTTAACTTATCTCTCGACTATATACTACTTGATATAAAAGATGTAAACCTCAATCGTGTTCTAATACGTGATTAAAGCATTATAATAGACACATGAGAATTCACTCGTAATTTCTGACGTGTGAGAATACAATAAAGATTAAATATGATGAAAAGTGGATCATATATCTTCACTGAAATTTGGTCATGCGAATCGAAGGCTTCGTCACTTTTTAGTATAAATGGTGGCCAAGAAGTTCTGATTCGATTTTAATAATAAGCTTTTCCTCAATAAAACACATGATTGGAAATTTATCTCTAGGATAAAAAGATGTAGCAAAACATGCTCTAAAAGTGGCTATTGATTGATCCCGCTACCTCATATAGTAAGAAAGTTACAAGCTTAGAAATATGCTTCACAGGAAATGAAAATAAAACGTGAATTTTTAGATATCATGAATATGTTTCTTTATATAAAACATGTTGGTTTACTTAAAAAGATGGTTCTTCATCTTGCATATTACAATTAAAATCTATTTGAATTAATATTCATACACTTGATTTTCATCAACTTGTATGACCTTCCTGAGACGTTTAAGTATTTTCTCTATCATTTCTGGACATTGTTCAGGTATAATTTCTCTCCATTCTGAATTAACAAAACGAACTAATGAAGCAAGATTTTTAAATATTCTTCGTCTTGTTTTTTCCTTTCATAATACCCAAACGTTCTCAATGGGCCATACATCTGCAAACTTCGTATCTCCATCATTTGATTCAATTCTTTCTTCAAAGATATGGTAGATAACATCCATAACAATTTGAGTTCTTTGTTTTGAATCTTGATCATCTTGAAAAATAATTTCGTTCAAATTCTCAAATACTTTCTTAATTGCAAGAATGCTTCTTCGCGTAAAAATTTAGCATATGAATCACCAGTCATGTACATTCATTTACGTGACCAGCCCGGCATTGACTTTTTAACCATTAAGTAAAATTAATCTGACTATCGTTTGGTACTAAACTTTTCGTATAAATTGTACCCCAAAACATGACATCACTTGGATACTTTACCTTTGGTGCTTCTCTTAAATCAGCTGGAATTTCAGATGCATCTTCAGCATAAGCTACGTCATTTTTACTATTTTGAAAATCTTCAATTGTAAATATTCCAGAAAAATTAGTATTAACGATTTTAATCCATCGCCACTTCGGATCAGTTATTCTTGCACTAAATTTTTTGATTAATCTTTTTACACATTCAACACATCGTTGTTTGTTTGCCACTGTTATTTTTTAAGCTTTTCTGAGTTTAAATGGTTTCAAATTTAATTCTTTAATTAGGTTTTCCACCGATGATCTTTTACCTTTAATGTCGTTGCGTTGTAATTGAAATATCACGTTTCTTTCACTGTGTCCTTTTGATATATATATATTAATCGTTTAGCAGCTTTCTTCATTTGTTCTGCTGTAACAGTTCTTGGTGTACCACATCTTGGTCTATCTTTTACTGTTCCTTTTTGTAATATTCGGTTTATTTTTCTTCTTCATGCATCACAGCGTAATAGAAGTGGACCTTCGTAAGATTGTAATACATCGGCAATGTCAGCCGTCATCCATGTAGGATTCATTTCTTTCAAAGAAAGAACGATACCACGAAACTGTTCTCATAAATTGGCTGTGTGTGACATCTTGTTATATTGTAGAAGACGTCGTATAGATTATCGAATATATTATTTAAACTAAAACCGATCTAATTATAAGTAAGATAGGCGAACGAATGGATGAATACAAAAGAGAGATGGACATCATGAAAACAAAGAAATAATGATTACAGAGACCTGGAGACAATACTATGAAGGACATTAAAATGCAGAATACATAGAATGAATGCACACAGAATGGAAAATATATATCGAATAGTTGGAGAAAAAAATGCACTAAATTCTAGGAAGAGAGGACAAAGACAATGATGATATGATCTAATCAAAAGTAAGGATTATCACACGCGTAAAATTAATTACATAATGACTTTAAAGTGATTATTCAATGCTCTGAAAAATTCACAACTAATTTATTTTGTGAAGTAAGTTTCTAAGTTTGTAACTTTTTTACTATATGAGGTAGCGGGATCAACCAAAAGTCATTTTTAGAGCATGTTTTGCTACATCTTTTTACCCTAGAGACAAATTTTCAATCATGTGTTTTATTGCGGAAAAACTTTTTATTCAAATCGAATAAGGACTTCTTGGCCATCTTTTACACGCACATTTCGAATTCAGAATTCACGAGAAGTCGAGCAAATATTCATCTCATTACTTTTCTCAACTACTTTCTGTTGTTTTCACTGTTTTAGACGGCTCGACACTCGTCTTCAGCGTCTTTCAACTGTTGCTCCTTAAACTCATTCGTTACAGGCACTACAACTGATGGATTCAAGCTTGAAATTTCATGATTCCGATCTTAATCGAATTCTAGCATTGTCTAACGACCAGTGCCAGACTTCTGAAAGCAATCAAATTGGTGATATCTCCTCTGCCACGTTTAGCTTCGACTCAGACATTTCAAGTGCCTTTTTCAATCTTGTGTCAACGATGAAGACGACACCAGAATGCATAGCTTTTACATGCTACGCTGTGTTCTTATTCAAGTTAACGACAAAAGAGCGAGATTTCAATCTATGGCAAAACACAATCATCCAGTACCGACCCGAACTATCTAGCAGTATCGATAGGTCTGCTGATAGGTGCGTATGATTTGCAGCGTATTTTTTGCAAATCTTACTCTAAATCTTCTCTACAACTATTTTCTAATTTCCACATAGAATTTGCTTTTGTGTTGATCCACAGTCATCCTTCTTACAGCTCACCAACAACATTAGCGAAGTCATGATGCGCACAATGGAGTATGCAGGTGTCTCATTGTCTTACACATTTGACCAGGGTTCAACATCAAGCGCCCCCATTTTTCTGGATCTGTCGTTCGAGCCTCGTACAATTTTCATCAATACGGAAGCCAACACAGAATTGCACAATGCTGCCTTATTTCATAAGCATCTGCTCACTGTGTCAGAATGTTCTGTCAACAATGAAAATGATGACAGGCAAGCTCCAGTGAACTTTTCTGTTACATTCCAACATGACGTGCACGAAAACAACTTGATATGCACATTTGACGGTTCTTCGAACTTGTTCAATAAGATCACTCTACAAACTTTGGCTCATCGTTTTCATAGTCTGTGTCAACAACTATTCTGTTCATCATTTGATCGACGAAGACAGCCAATCTATGAACTATCTATTCTCCTCCCTACTGAGAGTGATATGTTACAAAAATTGAAGAATTGTGAGACCATATCGCATATCAAATGTTGTATTCATCAAGCGTTCATAGAACAAGCAATCATACATCCTAATAAATTGGCTGTAATACTTGACGATCAATCCCTAACCTACAGCGAATTACTTGCTGAAGTTCAAAAGTTAACATTTGTTCTCATCAATGACAAGAATGTGCATCCAGGCGACATTGTATGTCAGTATGTTGATCGGAGTATGGAAATGATTGTCGGTATTATGAGTATAATGACGTCAGGTGCTGTTTATGCTCCATTAAGCACAAACGATCCTTTCAATCGACTTGAATCGATCATTCATGAAGTTAATGCCAAGCTAGCACTTGTGAATCAAATGTCACATTCATATGTGAGCATGTTTAGTGTCCCTATTCTCAATATATCTGAAGTAGTCGAGTCCCATAATTCTTTGAACGATGCACAAATGAAACAATTGTCTCAAGTTACTGTAACACCCGATTCTATCTGCCATATTGTATTCACGTCAGGATCAACAGGCACTCCGAAAGCTGTTCAAATTCGTCATCGCAGTTTCATGAATTGCATGCAAACACATATTATACAGACCAACGATATTGTTCTCCAGCTTACAAGTTCTTCTTTGGATACTCACTTGGAGGATATTGATGGTGCACTTATTCGAGGTGCTCAATTAGTGGAACTGAAGGCTGAAGGTCATTTTGATTTCGATTATGTGACACAAACTATTCATGATAAACAAGTCACCTTTGTCGGGCCTGTACCATCATGGATGAATGCTTTAGGCAAATTTCTCAATGAAAATAATCGTGCTCAAGAAAGAGTTAAAACAGTGCGCTGTTGGTATTTAGGAGGTGAGAAGAAGATAATATTTAGTGTCTAATAGCTTATGATCATCATTTTTTTGTATTCCATATGCCTATAACACTGGCCGATCACTTTGTCGTATAATCACCTCGTCACAGGAAAATTTATTTCGCTGTATTGGTCACTGTCTATTCGTGGCATCCCTCTAAAGTTTTTTTCAAAGATGTGAATTAGTTAATGAATTCATCCTTATTATGTGCATTTTACATAATATAATTACGCCCACATTGAAAGCCAAAATAGCAAAAAAAAATAAGAAAAAAGTAATCTGAAGAAAACAAAACAATTTTTTAAAAATGCATAAAGATTTATGTTGGTTGCCATATTTGTTAGAAATTAACCCGTTGAGACACGTCAAATGTGTTAGCCAGTCGAGTAATTTGTTCGTCCAATTGTCAATAGTAGGCCTTCTTCGTCTTAATATCATGCATGTCGAGAATTTTCGCCATGGCCACTTTCGATTTGGACTGTTCACGACGAATTTTTCCCGCCATTTTCATTATATTTTAACGTTTGATTGAGACGCAGTTCTCAAATGCTCTTGTGCGAGTCTTCCACCAAAATGTTCACATGAGGTACAACAGCGACGATACGATCATGATTTTTGAACAATATTGTGATCCAATTGAAGCATCTGTTGATCAATCCCTTTGAAAGTTGAGTATGTTTGAAATTTCTCAGGAATAAAGAAAAAAGATCATTTCTTCTTTTTGGTTCATCAATCTATGATTTTTAAAATAGTCAAGTAAATTGTCGGCATCATCATCGAATTGATTGGCTGCTACGCCAAAGCTGGGTGTAATTTCGTCGACTGCAACAAAGGCAAGATAAATGAATTTTTACATTCAAACGAAAACATTCATCTTGTCTATATTTTGTTGCCAATCCTTTTTCTTGAATTCGTCGCCATATTGCTTGTAAAAAATGAGGGAGAAATTCTATAATAAACGTTGTAATTATTTTATTTTTTGTAAAAAGACTGGAATATACCTTTGTGTCAAACGTTTAGCGACATTTCTTTGACTGTTGTGATGGTACCTGTTTCGAAACTAATGATAATCGATTAAGGTTAAAGTTGCTTTTCTTCTCACACTTTTTTGAATAGTAAATTGTGATCTACAGTGCTTTTACCAATTAACCACTTATAGGAAACTTGAACAAATTGCATCAGTCATCGTCACACGTAATTTGAGGATTCGCGAATAATTGTGGGGACATACCTGTATGAAAGAAAATTCGAAAAGAATAAGACTCATTTCGTTGATAATATATTTTGAACGTTCCGTCAGTAGACCAATGTTTGTTTTGCTTCAGGTTAGATAAATTAGTTTTCGTAGTAAAAATAATTAAATCATTGTCTTCGTATAAGAAGAAGTTGCCATCACGACATCTTTCTCAATTTTTCTAGTAAATGACCGTTGACATCGACTACTTCAATAGTACGTGGTCGTCAAGTTATTAGCATAAGCGCTTCATTTCTTAGACATTCACCAGTGGCACTTAGTGGATATGTACGTGCAATCGAATGAAGAATTGAGCTGAATAATTCATCTGTTGTTGAAACACGATGTCTAATGTGATTCTTTAATTGGATAGCTGGAACATGATCAATTTGTCGATCATGGGAACGTAAAGTACGTCTTTAGAGAAATACGTCCGTGAATAAATTTATATGATAACTAGCTTGATTGATAGTTGAGTTTTCATTTAAGTTAGTTAATTGATGTTCAAAATGACTTCACCTTTTCAATCTCGTTTCTGACATCGAAAAATCGATTTTGTTGTTGTACATTCCACAGTATACATGTAGCCTTCATCGTGAATCATTGGTTTTCCTTTTAAAGAAAGGAATTTTTTCAATTTGAGGCATTTTGTTTGAAAAGTACTGTGCAGTGAAAGTTGAAATTGAAAAATGAAATATGTTTAATTTAACCTGGTCTCATAATTAAGAATGTTGAGTCAGTGTTATCTTTGGTATTGATTATGATGGAATTCATTAACCGAATAACAAATCGAATTATTCTTCGTGCACTTTCGCTCAATTACGATTATATTTTAGTAGTGTTTTTTATTGAACTATTTTCCCAACTAAAGTCATATACCTTAGAACAGTTAATTATCTATTCTGATTGTACATATGTATTGCAATTTTTCATTTATTTTATTTTGTTTCGATCGTTTATAGAAAAAAACAAGAATTAAAAGTGTTTTAAGAAGTAGATAGCGACGAACAGAGCTAAAGATTTTTTTCTGCGATGAAGTCATCATATGACCAAGTGATCATAATGAAATGTCGTGCGACAAAATGTACTAGTACCATGTATAGAATTTTCTGTCTCCTCTTCTGACTGCTGCGTTCTCTTACATAATCGACTATGATGACTTAGAAAACATAACATATAAGAAATAACTGAAGAAATATTAAACTAAATAGTAACAGAATCAATATAATTCAGTTTTTATATGATGTTGATCTCACATGATTCTTAGAATACTTTATATTTTTAAAGGTGAAACATTATTCAGTTCAATGATTATTCCGTTTCTGCCATTCATTAATGAACAAAGTCGATTTTTCAATGTTTATAAACCTGCTGAGATTACAATAGGAGCGACTTGTCATGAAGTTCGTCAAGAAGAACTCTTTACGACTGTTTTATTGCCTATCGGTTATCCATTGAGTGGTTATCACATTTATCTCCTAGACGAATATCGACAGCCAGTAGTACCTGGTCAACCCGGTGAGATTGTTATTGGAGGTGAGCTATCTATTTCATGTTACATGCAAAAGATCGTTTTTGATATGATATGCATAGGTGTCGGTGTCTTTGCTGACTACTGTGGACGAGCTGATTTGACAGCACGAGTTTTGATCGATATCAACGGTGAGCAGTGTTATGCAACTCGTGATTTGGCTCGTTTGGATATCAAAACAGGCGAACTTATCTTTATTGGTCATCAAGATTATCAAGTGAAACTGCGAGGTCAACGCATTGAACTATCGGCAATTGAATGCCTGATTATTCAGTCGTCGTCGAATATTGTAAATTGCATTGTGATAAAGGAGGATTCGAAGGGCGATAGTTTATTAGTGGCTTATGTTCAAGTGAAAACGAGCACGGAACTTGAGAAACTCCGCGACGAAATCCTTGGTAGCTGCAGTTCTCAATTGCCTTCACATATGATTCCGTCAAAGTGGTTCTTTGCTCTAGAATTTCCACTGAATGACACCGGCAAAATTAACCGAAAAAAGTTGCGGCAAATGACGGAGAACATATTCTCACCCTTAGTGGGTCGAACGACGGCAACGTTGTCGCCGCTTGAACTAAAACTGCAAGACATTTTTATGCGAGCATTTCATCTAGACATACCACCAGACGTTAGGGCGCCATTCAGACAGCTAGGTGGTACATCATTAGGTATTATGCGCGCGCTTCGGTTCATTCAACGAGAAGTGATGGATAAAATGGATATTAACCTATTGTTTACGAACCCTTCTGTGGAAGCATTGGCTGCCGCCTTGGAGCCTGTTCTCTCCATCGCTGAGTCTGAGAAGGAGAAGAAAGAGGAAGATCATGACGACTTCTCAATCCGGCCACATTCGTCATGGCTAATTGAGTC